TCCCCTCCTCAGGCTGTAGTTGCTCCTTGCCTTCTCTTTTCCTTCAATAGATTATTTTGGTCTGTGATGCTGAGAGGAACCAGACCCATAACTACTGTGAACAGCAAAGGTCAGTATCAAACACAGATCTGTCCTGTGCAGCCTTGTGGGAATCCAGTCCACCTTCAGATCTTGTGACTTCTCAGGCTCCTCCTGTACTGATGCTCCCTCCGTCTGCCTACTCAGAGCTCTTATTGGAGCTTTGTGCAGCCGTGGGCAGCCACAGTCGCTACCACGTCAGCTGCTTTTCCTGGCACCTCTCACTGTATCTTCCCAGGGCCCAGACTGTGGCTTTTGGCCCTTTAGAGTCCATAATCCCTATGGCTTTGATCCACTTGGTCCCACCTGTCCACCTGGTTCAACAGTGCTGGTGGAAGGCGGGTATTTTGCAGGTAGGAGATTCAGAGCTGGGGCCGCTGCTGGCAGCATTCCTCTTCCACATCCAGGATTCCTTCTCAGTGCTGCTCAGCTTGGAACCTCACAGGGAGCCAGTGTCCTCAGAACTCAGTGATAGGGAAACCTCTTCGTGGGTGGCTTAGATGGTGACTCCAGCATCTGGTGAGGAAGTAGGCCACCAGTGTGCTGGGAAGGACATCAGGTACCTTTGGCACTATCACAGTTCAGCTGCTTTAGTCCTGTTAGCCTCTCATTTCACTTCAGACACGTGTTGTGGTGTCTTTCCGGGGCTGAAACTTTTGGACACTTTTCAGATTTAATAAGAAACTACAGGGGATCCCCGGGTGGTGCAGCGGTTTGGCGCCTGCCTTTGGCCCGGGGCGCGATCCTGGAGACCCGGGATCGAATCCCACGTCGGGCTCCCGGTGCATGGAGCCTGCTTCTCCCTCTGCCTGTGTCTCTGCCTCTCTCTCTCTCTCTCTCTCTGTGTGTGTGACTATCATAAATAAATAAAAATTAAAAAAAAAAAAAAGAAACTACATCATAGGGGCACCTGGGTAGCTCAGTTGGTCAAGTATATACTTCGGGCTTGGTCATGATCTCAGGGTCTTAGGATTGAGTTCTGCACTGGGCTCCCTGCTCACAGGGGAATCTGCTCCCTCTCCCTCTGCTCCTCATTCATGCTTGCTCTCTCTCCCACTCACTCGCTCTCTCAAATAAAAATCTTTTAAAAAAAATAGAAACCATATTACAGTAGCAGAATCTCCCTGAAGTGTTTTGGTGTAGGGGAGGTAGCCATTCATAAAATAAAGTAGACAAAGCAGCCCTAAGGATCTTCCTTAAATTCCTCTGGAATTATATTGTACCATACTGGTCTTTGCTTTTAGTAAGGAAATATCAATTAGGCTTTGAGGGAACTTTCATCTACCTAAGAATTAAAATTGCCAAAATATCTGGATTGGTCTTTAGTCTCCTTTAAGTCTTTGATTTATAGTATATGTCATAAATGAAACACTTCAGTTGTCTGACTTTGCTTTTCTATCCTTTGCCCCATATCCATCCTCAAACCTTGTCTTCCATTCCCTCCTGCCAGTCCCTGTTGAAACAGAGTTGCAGGCCAGAGACCAATCAGACTAATAACCTCCTCCTCTCCTTGGACATCTCCCTTGTGCTTTTAACTTGTCTTTCACAAGGATCTTCTGAAACCCGTTCTGTGCCCCAAGCACAGACCCCATTACTTCAGCTTTCACACCTGCCTCTTAGACCCTCCTCTCACAGGTTGTTTTCATCAGACATGAACCAAACCTAAATTTGCTTTAATGCCAGAAAAACTGAGGTTCATCCAAACAAAGAATATCAATACAAACTATACTGAAAACGAGTTTGTTTAAAATCTGGGGCAGTGAGGAGGATGTCTTTCAAAAGCCTGATAACTTTAGAGCCAAATTTCAGAGGGGAATTTTCTGATCAAAATTTGGTTGCCATTTGTTGTCAACCTGCCTGCCACAGCCATTCATGGATCCCAAGAATTCCTAAGCTGGGTTAATGGAGTCGTATTGTGAATGCCTCACTTCCAAGTGACTTGAGTCCAGTGAAATCTTTTTGTTTTTTTAAGAGGATTTTTTTTTAATTTTTTTTTTTTTTTTTTTTAATTCATAGACACAGAGAGAGAGAGGCAGAGACACAGGCAGAGGGAGAGGGAGAAGCAGGCTCCATGCAGGGAGCCTGATGTGGGTCTCGATCCCAGGTCTCCAGGATCACACCCCAGGCTGCAGGCGGCGCCAAACCGCTGCGCCACCGGGGCTGCCCGAGTCCAGTGAAATCTCATTAGAGTTAAGAATGTTTGTAGATCCCTAATACCTTGATTTTTGTTTTCAGAAATTGGGTTTTATTTTATGTTATAATTTCAGTTCATCTAAATGTGTTGTGTACATGTGATGTTTGGTTATACCATTGATTATTATGGAGATTTTCTGTTGTATGTTTCTCTTTGCACTGTGGCACACTTTTTTTTTTTATGTTTTTGGTGACACACTTTGCTGATGAATTTTTTAATTCTCAAAATGTAGAATAAAGATTGTTTTGAAAATTTTTAAAAAGTGGTAACACTGCATTACCAAAGGGAAAAAAAGATTATTTTCTCTACAGTTAATCCTCAGTCCCCACAGTCCAGTTGTGACCATCACTGTTGTTCCACCAAACTATTGCACAGGCCACCAGTGCCCTCTTTGTTGGCAGATCTGGTTACTTCTATACTGTCAGTCTGCTTTCCCCTCTTCAGCATGTGATATTGTTGCTCCTGCCCTTTTCCCAGAGCTTTTCCTCCCTTAGTTTCCCTAACATCACTCTCTCAGGTTTTCTTTGCCTCTCTTTCCTCCTCCTTTGCCACCTTCTCTCCCAGACCCTTAACTGGAGATGTTTTATGGTGCCCTGTCTTGTGTCTCCACTTACTCTGTAGTTGGTCTCTGGACTGTGATATCCACTCCCATGGTTTTGTATCACTCCTTGCTAGTACATCCAGCTCTGGTCTTTTTCTTTAGTTCTAGACCACACTAGAACTAGAACTAGACGAATGGCTGAACAGAGACCTCTTCATTGTTCCAAAAGCACCACAAACTCATCAGATTTCAAATAATAGATTTTTCCCAGACTAAAAACCTGACACTAAACCCTGACTCTTCTCTTCTCCCTGTCCCCACCCAACCAAGGCTGTTGTCAGGTCCTGTTACCTATACCTGAGGTTGACCTTTCACATGTCCAGCCTCTCATTGCCAGCCCTGCTGCTACCCAGGTTCACGGCCTTGTTTTTTCTCACCTCAGCGTATCACTCCGTTCCTTGGTTACTTTCCAGTGTCCACAGAGTCACATCCAGCCTGTTGTTAGTTGGAGCCCTGTGTGGTCTTGTCCTAAGGACTCAGCTTCATGTCTCACAGCCTTTCATGCAGCCATTTCCTAAAACTCCATAATTTTTGTTCTTGCCGTTTACTTAATGCTGTTCCTGCCCTGACTGTCCATTGCTCCCATTGTTTTGTCTAGAAAACTCTTCAGGGCCCAGTGCAAAGGTTTCCTCCTCAGTGAAGTCATCTTTGAGTCTAGAGTAAATGTTTGCAGGATTATGAGGAAGGAGTAGAACTTCACTACAAGTGCCTTACTAATGACTTCCATTTATGGAGAAATTGCTGTGACAGTCATCATTTTGAATACCGAATACTAGAAGCAGATGGTTAAGAACATGAGCTTTGATGACCGAGTCCCAACTCTCCATTTACTAGCTGTGTAACCCTTGGGCAAGTTATTTACCATCTCAGCATCGATTAAGTCTGAGGGTTCAATGTGCTTGCCATATGGGAAGAAGCAATAAATGGTAGCTGCTGGCACTATAAACAGAAAGATGTTCATCCCTCCTTAACCCCCTGATGAGATATTAAGTTCTATTATGATTGCTGTTATACAGATGGCGAGACCGAGGCAGAGGGAGGCTGGCTAATACGCTGTTTCTCCAAAGGTGGCTGTGGGCCTGTGGCTCAGTCATCTGTTTATTTCAGAATGTCTTTAAAGTTCAATAAATATTTACTGAGTTGATCTGAAAGATGAATCTGGAGCTTCTGGGTCAGATTGAGAGGGAAACTTAGAAATTGTCACCTGCACAGGGGTGGTAACTGAAGCTGTTCTTTTTTCTTTTAAGTCCTATATCACCTTCAAGAGTCCACACATTTCAACCACTCCTTTAGAAATGAGCTAGATATTACCTTGTGACAGGTGATAATTATTATCCTCAACCGTTACTTACATGTTTGTTAAAATTTCTTGTATTTGTCTTCTTTCCCCAACTGGCTTATAAACTTTGTGGGCAGAGGACTGTGCCTTATACTTCTGTGCATTAACCCCTACCCCCCTCTAGTCCTGGTTTTTGTTTCTGATATAACAAGTCAAAATCTGACATTTAATATTAATCTCAGGGGATCCCTGGGTGGCTCAGTGGTTTAGCGCCTGCCTTTGGCCCAGGGCGCGATCCTGGAGTCCCGGGATCGAGTCCCGCGTCTGGCTCCCGGCATGGAGCCTGCTTCTCCCTCCTCCTGTGTCCCTGCCTCTCTCTCTCTCTCTCTCTCTCTCTCTCTCTCTCTCTCTCTCTTTCTCTATGTCTATCATAAATAAATAAATCTTTTAAAAAAAATATTAATCTCAAAAAGGAATTCTCTGCCATTCCTAAGTGATACCAACCAACCAAGATTATTTTATTAATCTTTTGGATTAAGAAAATGTTATTTTCTTCATATTTTCCAGATAAAATTGATTAAAACTGCACCTCTTCTATTTGTTACATTTCTTTTAATCCATACATCAGTTGTTTTTTTGATTCTAATACACATTTGTACCCTCTCAAGAGTCTCTGATGTGGGCTCTTCGATTCTCATTCTCCCTTTTACAGTTGAAGAAACTGAGGGCCACTTTCCAAGCAGTTTTCCCATTTGTTATCTGACACCGTGTTCTCTGAACAGCTTGGTCAAGACTCAAGATTCTGAAGGGAATAAGAGTTTTAAATGCTTTGTACTTTCATTTGACAGAGCTGAGAAGCTTCAGCTGCTGAATCACAGGCCTATGACTGCTGTTGAGATCCAGCTGGTGAGTGAAGGAGGCCCGAATATGAGGGGAGTGGTTTCTGGGTCTGAGAGGGAGAAAGGATGATGAAGGCTGGAACTGCCATTTCCTGAAAAGACTGCCCGCCTGCCCCATTTTATAAGTGAAAGGAGACCTCACCAATTGGATCCTAGTTAGTATGGACTTAATGAAAGTAGACTGGGGAAATTTTGTTCCTTCCTTAGGATTTGGGCCTGCATCGCAGCACTCTTTGTCTCCCCTGATGTCCCACCCTATCCTGGTCATTGCTTTCCTCTAGGGGTTATTGCCAACCAGATGTTGCAGAAAAACAAGAGACTCACCATGACTCTGGCAGAATTTCTCCTCCCTGACTCCCACCCTTCAACCCTATTCTTCCTGTTTCTGCTCTTGGTTCACGGAGCACATGTGTACTTCCCCACATGCTCTTTCTGTCAGCCTCCTGGCCCAGTCTCTCAAGCCAGAAACCTGGAAGTCATTCTCTTCTTTGATCTCACATGCACTTAGTCCCCAGGTTCTGTTGCTTGTGTCTTCCCCTGTTCTCTCTCCTCTCCCTGTCACACTGTGTTAATTTCTGTCTTTTCTCAGTGCAGCTCTCGTGGTTGTCCTCTCATCATGACCCTTCCTCAGGCTGGCCCCTCCAGTCCACCTTCTGCACCACTGTCAGAGTTCACTTTCTCAGACCACAAACTTGATCATCTTGTTTCCCTGCATATGACCATTCAGTGGATCCTCATCACTTGCACAGTCTACACAGCAGTCACAGTATAAAGCTTTAGAATTGTGCAAGACAGCCAGAGTAAAAGCTATACATGGTCTAAGGAGAATGTGAAGCTGAGGCCCAGTGAGAAAATCTGTGTGGTTACTGTGTTGGTGTCCTGGGAACACCGTGAAGCTCTAAATACCAGGCAGGCCATTTAATTGTCAGTAAAAAAAAAAAAAAAAAAAAACAACCTGATTAGAGAATTAACAAAATGAGAAAAAAGGAGTTTGCAAAGTCAGTTTTAGAAGTACTTATCCTTTGTCAAATTTCTCTCAGAAAGTGTGGAAGAAAGGAGCCAAAAATACCTATGATGTTTAGAGTTTCTTTAAAAAGAACCTTTGTAAAAGGTTCATGGAGGGATGTCTGGGTGGCTCAGTGGTTGAGCATCTGCCTTCGGCTCAGGTCATGATCCCGGAGTTCGGGGATCAAGTCCCGCATCAAGCTCCCCACAGGGAGCCTGCCTCTCCCTCTGTCTGTGTCTCTGCCTCTCTCTCTCATGAATAAATAAATAAAAACCTTAAAAAATAATAAATAAATAAAAGGGTCATGGGGCATTTAATTTTTGACTAAAACTTTTATTATCCTCCTAATGTTTTCCTGTCCTTCAAAATGCACCCAAAATTAAATTAGAAAAATTCCTTCCATAAAGGGTGACTTTCTGGGGAAACTGGCCTTTAGGGTAAATAGAGATTCCTTTTTTTTGTATCCTTATTTTGATGCACTCAACTGTGCAGGAGATTCATCTTAGAACAGAAAAAAAAAATCAGCAAGAATCTAATCCATGTCCCTCTGGGTTAAAAATCACATGTTAGCTCCTCCAACTTTAATCAGCAACATATGTTATTCATGGCTAAATGACAGATGGAGAGAGGAGATGAAGATTAGCATGATCTCATCCCAGAGCCTGTAGAAAGCTCTATCATTACTTGGTATGATTAGCTGCTATTAAGAGTGCCTGCTGTATGCCATGGGCTTCGTAGGCATCACCTTTAATGCCCTCACCATAGTCTTGGCTAGTGAGTGGCAAATTGGGTCTGTCTGACTCAGCACCTTACTTTCTCCTCCAAACCATGTGCTTTTGCATAGTAAGAAGAAAGAAGTGTGTGGCGTCCCCTCAGACTGTCCGATCCTTTCTCCTTTTCACGGGTAGGTAGTAGGTCTTGATAAATACAGTATGTTGTTTCTCAGCAGTTGGACCATGTTATAGTCAGATTTTCCCCAGCCTGAGATTTGGCTACAAAGGATAGCAAATCCCAGTGACAATATCTCTTCTCATAAGAGAGGGATCAGAAATGAGGTTTTCACAAAGGGTGTGAAGTACAGAAGACTTGAGAATATCCTTGCATTAACCTTACGGCCATTATTCTCCCTGGGTCCAAAGTATTTCCAGCATCCAGCATTTGTATTCAGTTTTGGGGGGTAAAGCTACTTTTGGTTACACCTCAGCCATGGTTTGTGGTAAGCCTCAGATCCACAGGAGCCTGCCCCCCACTTCTGTGATTCTGTCCCCGTCCTGCCACTGTCCTCAACGGTACTGCTATATACGCCTGTTGGAAGTTAGTGATTATAAATGTCTTAGATTGTATCGTCTTATGGCTTACAAAACACTGTAATATGTGTTCTTATTTGGTCCTTAACTGTAGATGTTACATTCATTTTACATTAGAGAAAATTGAAATTTACAGAAGTTAAGTGAACTGTTCTGAACCTAGTTATTAGGTTCAAGTTGTTTTGGTAATGTAGGAAGTTGGCCTTGGCAGCTCAGAATGAGAGACACCATTTTTGGAGTAGAGCAGCCCCATGTGACAGTTCCTAGGAATTGATACAGTTTGTGATAAAAATTAAGCGTTGACTCATCTGCAAATACTTTGGATTTTTACATCTCATTCACCCTTCTGTTCCAAACAACTTGAAACCTTGGGTGTTTGAGAACATTGAGGTGGTGCTTTGTGTCTCTTTGGGCTCAGTTTCTTCTGTGTTGGGAAGAAAAGGTGAGGAGTAATACAGTTAGTATCATTTTATCTTAGAGACCCAAGAGGTATTAGTGAGTTTTTGGTTTCTGAGTTTCTTTTTTGAATAAATGTGTTTTCATTTTGCTTAATGAGGTTTAGGTTTTTTTTCCTGTGACTGGGAATCTTGGTTTGAAAAGGAAAGTTTCTGTTCTTCGGCCCTATTGCCTATCAGCTGACGCCTGATCATCATTGCATCTGCCACATGCAGTGATCAGGATGCAAGAAGGTGGTCTGTTCAAGTCTTCTCTATTTGTTTTTCTAAAAATGAGGCCTCTGAGAAGTCATATAACTCTAGTCTGCCTCTCTGAGAGAGGAAAGGATAGAAGCATGGTGTTCTAGAAAGAGCTGAAATCCAAAGGCAAAGACCTTTCCCTACTTGCTGTAAGACCCAGATCAGGTTTTCTTTACAATGCTGAGCATACACTTACTCATCTATAAATTGTCCTGACTTCCACATGCTTGAGAAGCTCTGGTGGCAGTGATTCTGGGAAAGCGCCTGCACAAATACTGGTGGGAAGTTGTCAGTGTTCTAAGACTAGTCTAAATCTCCTTTCCTGCTTCCCCTGAGTCAGGAAGCAGTTCATAATCAACTGCACATGGCAATTTATAAATTTGGAGACATTCCTCTCTCAAATGGAGATCATCTTTTCTTAGGGTTAAATAATCAAATTGGATATACCCCTTTCCAACTCCTTCATATTTTGGAGACAGTCTCTGTTAGATTACTTCCTTTTACACATCGTAATTTTGCATGTCTGGTTTTATTTATTTTTTTAAGATTTTATTTATTAGTGAGAGAGAGAGAGAGGCAGAGACATAGGCAGAGGGAGAAGCAGGTTCCTTGCAGGGAGCCCGATGTGGGACTCAATCCCGTGACTCCAGGATCATGCCCTGGGCCAAAGGCAGATGCTCAACCACTGAGCCACCCAGGCGTCCCAGCATGTCTGGTTTTAAAAATGGGTTTTTGAGGATTATTTCTTGTTCAGTAGAGGTTATACTTTATGGAGCTTTTGAATCTTTAGGAAATGGTCGTTTTATTTCACAGCATGATGAGAAGTAGCCCGTTGGTTCACTCAGGGTCTTCTCCACCCTAGAACACTCAGGATGATTCTCTGGTTGTAGAAACATTTTTGTACCCTAGATGAATGAAGAGACTGATGTTTTGCCAGGAGTTCATGATGTGATCTTAGACACATCACCTGACTTGATTAGCTTCTGTAAAGGGAGGTGGTCAGACCAAAACCCTCTTCAGGGTTCGAAGTCTAGCCTGTTATCCTGTTTTATTTAAATCTGCTGGGATTTCTTTCTGGAACTCCTCTTGGTCCTAGTCACCAGATCTCAGAGGTTGCTGTGGGAAATGCCACAGAACAGAACCCTGGACACCTTTAGCTGTTTATGATAGGTGGCTGGTGCCCCTAAGTGAACATGGGTAAGTAATTTGACTGCCTGTATGTTGCTCTTAAAAACATTGTTGACTATATTTGTATTCATTAATATATTCGAGAACTAGAGGTACAGCTAAGAAAACTGGCTCATAATTGTGGACTATCAGTGTGTAGATTTCCAGGACACATCAAACTGGGCTTTAAGTGGATCTAATTTAGTGAGGCAGCAGGGGATTGTTTCCCAGCCGTCACTCTTGCTTCACATTCCCAGGAGGTGATCAAGGCCACATGGTGTGTGTTTGATTGTAGGTGTCAGTGTTGGGCAGGCCCAACTTGAGGTGCTCGTTCTTTTGCCGGGATTGTTGTGAGGGCTAAAAGAATAACAGATAGGAAGTGCTATGTGCACTCGGACATGTGAGCTCCCTAAAGACCTGTTAGTGGCAGTGGGAGTGGGGATGAGAAAACAAAAAAAAATTTGGCACACAGTGGGCAATTGTCAGATGGGTTGTTCATATAGTTTATAAGTTACAGTTGTGTTTGTTGTGAACTACAAAAGTATATAAAATGCTATTTCACTCCCCAGAAGTGAGTTTTCTTTGCATACAAAGCATATTCAAGTGTGCATGTGGTTGGGTATAGAACCATTAAGGTTTTCTATTTCTTTGAAGAAAAATGCTAACCTGCAACTTGCTTTTTGCCCTGACCCATTTGGAACAGTTGCATAGGATTTGGGTAAAAAAAAAAAAAAGGAATTGGAGCTGGCTTCTCCCTCCCTCGGAGCCAGGGTGGAGAGAACACAGAGACCTGAGGAGGCTCTAGAGCCAGCGTGCCAGAGGCCAGTGGACTAGAAACAGCATGGGTGGGGAGGGCAGCCTGGACACCGCCTGTTGGCTCATCTGTAACCCTTGGAGGTTTTCTTCTGCAGATGGTTGAAGAGAGTGAAGAACGGCTCACAGAGGAGCAAATCGAAGCCCTCCTCCATACCGTCACGAGCATTCTGCCTGCGGGGCCAGAGGCTGAACAGAAGAAAAACACGAATGACATGACAGTGGATGAAGAGGACCCAGCATAGAAGAGCACAGCCAGCCAGCTGCCTCGTGAAGCTGAAAAGCCCAGCAGCCATTTCCCAGACATCCAGAGGATTTTTCATTTGGTTTTACCCTTTATCCCAATAGGCCTGATTTCATGGTTGGTCAGATAAATCACAAAAATAAGCTAAGAAGAAGTACATGTGTCTCTGGGAGATGAAACCTGGTGAAGACAGGCTGTCAGGGCAGAAAGGAGGACGGAGTCAAAGAGGACAATGTTCAACCCTCTGTGGTAAAAATACTTCTGTGGCCTTTGCCATAGTTGTGGGCAGGGCCCTGTGCACAGCTGGTAAAATGCTTGTGTTGCCTTTGATGGGCTATGTCCTAATTAGTTTCATCTGCTTCCCTAGGAGCTTCCCAAGCAGGGGCGCTGAGCATTGTTGGGGTGAGAGCTGAGTTAGAAGAATCCAGTTAGATGGCCTGAAACTCCCAGAGCAGCAAAAAGTTGCTCTAGGTTAGAATGAGCCACTGAACTTGGCTCACCTTAGAGGAATCTTCTCCTCCAGCACATCAAAGATAAGAGAAGACTGGCCTGTCCAGCCTTCCTCAGGTCTGAAGGCTCTTTTCCTCTCCTGGCAGGGGTGTTGTTTCCCAGCTCACTATTTATTCTTCAGTGTTAGGGCACCAGCCCATTCTCTTGAAAAACCACTGCAGACTGACTGAGTGACAGTGACAAAGAAGTACAGCGTTGGCTGCCTTACTCACCACCGACAGGAGCCCTGGGTACACACTGCCTCTTGAGGCCAGGTGAGCCTCACTTGCACAGTGGACAGATTGCATCTTTTGAAAGGGCACAGACAGGGACAGAATATGAAGAACTAGAGGTTGACTAATAAGAATTTGAATTTGTTGGCTATTGCAAGGTTGCATCAGTTTTTCAATTTAAAATATTAGGATAGGGGGGATCCCTATCCCTAGGATAGGTGGCTCAGTGGTTTCGCACCTGCCTTTGGCCCAGGGCGCAATCCTGGAGTCCCGGGATCGAGTTCCGCGTTGGGCTCCCAGCATGGAGCCTGCTTCTCCCTCTGCCTGTGTCTCTGCCTCTCTCTCTCTCTCTCTCTCTCTCTCTCTGTGTGTGTGTGTGTGTGTGTGTCTATCATAAATAAATAAAAATAAATCTTTTTAAAAAAATAAATAAGTAAAATATTAGGCTAATGATCATGTGAAAAGTTTGTTGATATTGAGGTTTTGGAGAGTTCAGTAGCTCCAGACATGTGGTTGCCTTAGGTCCTAGGAGTATTGCTGAAAGCGAATTTCCCACATTTGCCCTGCTCCCCATTTGGGGAAGAAAATACAGACATTAACTTTCCAAATCGGTACTCATTTTGTTGTGAGATTACATACTTTCAGTGCTGCTATTAATTGGATTATTTCCCACCCCCTTGCAATTCCCAGATTATTTCAACCTCCCCACTACCCCTGCCAATTGCAGTTAGGTCATTCTTAACCTTATCATTTGAGGATCAGGCAAAACTGGAATTTGCAGGGCATTTGTTTTTAAATCTCTCTTCCGTATTGGGAGTTTTACCAAGAACTGCTGATTTGTCAGGATGTCATCTGGGTACCTGTGTCACTGTTTTATTTTAACCTTCAGTGTATTCTGTGCATTTTCTTAACAGATTAATCTAGTTAATAATAAATTGTTCCCAAGTGACCACCAACTTTTGGTATTTTTATAAATCCTTGAAGAGTGGGACGCCTGGGTGGCTCAGCTTTCGAGCATCTGCCTTTGGCCCAGGGCACAATCCCAAGATCCTGTGTTTGAGTCCTCACAGGGAGCCTGCTTCTCCCTCTGCGTGTGTTCCTGCCTCTCTCTCTCTGTCTCTCCTGAATAAATAAATAAATCTTTTAAAAAAAAATCCTTGAGGACTTTGTTTTGCCATGGATAGAAAGAGATAAAAATCTGACTTAGAAGTTAAAATGTGTGGATTATTTATTTTTTTATAGATTTATTTTTATTTATTTATGATAGACATAGAGAGCGAGAGAGAGAGGCAGAGACACAGGCAGAGGGAGAAACAGACTCCATGCCAGGAGCCCGATGCGGGACTCGATCCCAGGACTCCAGGATCGCGCCCTGGGCCAAAGGCAGGCGCAAAACCGCTGAGCCACCCAGGGATCCCTGTGTGGATTATTTATTAAAAAAAGAAGTTGAGGGCAGCCCCGGTGGCTCAGTGGGTTAGCACCCCCTTCAGCCCAGGGCGGGCAGGATCCTGGAGACCCGGGATTGAGTCCCACATCAGGCTCCCTGCATGGAGCCTGCTTCTCCCTTTGTTGTGTCGCTGCGCGCGCGCTCTCTCTCTCTCTCTCTCTCTCTCTCTCTCTGTCTCTCATGAATAAATAATTTTTTAAAAAAGTTGAATCTATTTAGTGTCATCTATTTTCAATTGCAAGAAAATTTTAAGCTTCTGTATTTGGGACCTTAATTTAACTTCAGTTTCTGATAATGGCAGTTCTGGAAGACTAAATAACCTTTATAGGAAACAAATAGAATATAATATTGGGAAACTTAACCCATATCACATCTGGGAAGAAGAGCTGGGGAGCCTAGAAATCTTACTTTTCATTTTATATCCTTCTACGTGGTTTTAGTTCTTGACCATGTGACTATTGTATTCTTTAAAAAGAAAAAAAAAGTACATCCATATGCTTGTTCTTGGCCTCTGTGAATGCTACTGAATGTGTACTTGACAGTTGAATTATGTCCCACACAGAGGCTGACATCCATTGTAGTCACTGTAGGAAAGGCAGCTCTGCAGGGACCTGGCGCAGGCATGTGAGGAAGGCAGAGTTTGAGGACTAATGCCAGTGTCTAGCTCAGTGACTATAGCTGGATATATTTTTAGGTCAACCAGTCTTCCAGATTTTCCTAAGCTCTCAGTTCACCTTTTTTTTTTCCCCAAGCTTTAAATTTTCTTTAGGGGAAAGCCTTAGTTTTTGACACAGGAAGATTTTCTTAGTTATCTTTCAAGAAGATACTACGGAGCTCTTTAAAAATTGACCCTTAGTTAGAGATTTATCCACATATTTTTCCCTTGCCCCCTTTTGCTTAAGTGTTACAGTGTGAGGGAGCCGGGTGGTTCAGTTGCTTAAGCATCAGACTCCTGATTTTGGCTCAGATCATGACCTCAGAGTTGGGAGATCAAGCCCTATGTTGGGCTCCGTGTTCAATGGGGAGTCTGTTTGAAATTGTGACTCTCCCTCTGTCCCTCCCTCCACATGCTTGCTCTAAATAAATAAGTAAATAAAATCTTTTTAAAAGTTTACAGTATGACCCACTGCCACCTCAGAAGACTTCCCATTTCTTCAGGACTTGTTCATAAAATGATACCATTTCACTAATTAATCATTGTGTGCCAGCTTTCAAAAGCTTATGTCCTAGTAAGTACATTAATGCTCCAGAATAATATTTGCTAAATCATTTTCTCCCCTGAATTTAACACGCATATAAATAGATCGTTTCTTGATAAACTGTAAAACATCACATACTCTGAAAAGAATCATCAACCTTAATTACACAACGACGAATGAGATAAGAGGAAGTAAAACTGCTTAAGATCCTTCTGTGTAGTTTTTAAATTAAGATACAATTTATGTACCATAAAATTTGCCCTTTCATTGCAAGGTTATACAACCATCACTTCTAATTCCAGAATTTTTTTCATTCCAAAAAGAATCCCCATACCCACTAGCAGTCATTCTTCATTAACATTTCCCCACAGGCCCTTGGCAGCCACTAATCTAGTTTCTACTTTACGTATTTGCCTATTCTGGTCATTTCGTGTAAATTGAACCATACAATATGTGGCCATTTGTATCTGACTTTCAGCATATTTTTAAGGTTCAGACATGTTGTACCTTTGCTTTTTATGGTTGAATAATAGTTCATTGAATAGATATACCACTTTTGTTCATCAGTTGGTGGACGTTAGGGGTGTGTTCATAACTGGCTGTTTATAGATATGCTGTTGAGAACATCCATGTACAAAGTTTTTGTGACTTACGTTCTCCTTTCTCTTGCGTATAAGTGGAGTTGTTACATCATGTGATAATTCTGTTTAGCTGTTTGATGAGCTGCCAAACTGTTTTCCATATCATGTTTCTACCAGCAGTGCATGATGGAATCCAGTCTCTCTCTTGTCCCTCTTATGAATATAGCCATCTTAGTGGTTGTGAAGTGCTATCTCATTGTGGTTTTGCTTCGTAATTCCCTAATGGCTATTAAAGTTGAACATCTTTGCATGTCCTTATTGGCCATTTTTGTATGTTCTTTAAAGAAATGCCTATTGAAATCCTTTGCATTGGGCAGCCCGGGTGGCCCAGCGGTTTAGGGCCACCTTCAGCCCAGGGCCTGATCCCGGAGACCCAGGATTGAGTCCCACGTTGGGCTCCCTACATGGAGCCTGCTTCTCCTGCCTGTGTCTCTGCCTGCCTCTCTCTCTCTCTCTCTCTCTCTCTCTCATGAATAAATAAAATCTTAAAAAAAATCATTTGCATTTAAAAAACAGACTTTTTTCAAGGAGTTTTAGGTTTACAGAGGAATTGAGCAGAAAGTATAGGGAATTCCTATATGGGCCGTTGCTCCCACCCCCAAGAGTTTCTTTTGTTATTAACATCTTACATTAGTGTAGTGTATTCATTACAATTGATGAACCAGTATTGATAAACTTTTACTACTTAAAATTCATAGTTTACATTAGGGTTCGCTCTTTGTGTTGTACGTTAGAAAGTGCAGTAATGCATACATAAAATGAGTTTTGACAAATATGTGTATTCCACCATTATACTATCATCAGAATATTTTCCATGCCCTGGGAACACCCTGTGCTCCATCCATTACATCCACTCCCTTCCTCTGAGTCCCTTAAAACCACTGGTATTTTTACTGTCTCCAGTTTTGCCTTTTTCAGAATATCATATAGTTGGATTTTAGAGCATATGGTCTTTACAAATTGGATTTTTCACTTAGCAATACGCATTGAAGATTATTCCATGTCATTCAATGGCATGATAGCTCATTTCTTTTTAGTATTTAATAATATTCCATTGTCTAGATGTACCTGTTTATCCATTTGCCTATTGAAGGTCACCTTAATTTCTTCCAGATTTTGGTAATTATCAAAAAGGGCCACTGTAAACATTTGTGTACACGCCTGTGTGGTCAAGTTTTCAGCTCATTTTGGTAAATACCAAGGAGCAAAATACCTGGATCATAGAGTAAGAGTATATTTAGTTTTGTAAGAAACGGCCAGATCGTCTTAAAGTGACTATACCATTTAGCAGCAATGAATCAGAGTTCCTTTTGTTCTATGTCCTCATCAGAATTTGGTGGTGTCAGTATTTTAGATTTTGGCCGTTCTAATAGGTATGTAGTGGTATCGTGTTGTTTTTTGTTGTTGTTTTAAAGATTTATGTATTTATTCATAAGAGACACAGAGAGGCAGAGATGCAGGCAGAGGGAGAAGTAGGCTCGCTGCGGGGAGCCCAATGTGGGACTCTATCCCGGATCCTGGGATCACTCCCTGAGCTGAAGGCAGACTGTCAACTGCTGAGCCACCAAGGTGTCCCAGTATTGTGTTAATTGCAATTCCAAGACATAAAATATTCATGTTTTTATATGCTTATTTGACATCTGTATATCTTTATTAATGTCCAGACCTCTTGCCTATTTTTTAATTAGGTTATTTTCTTTTTGTTGAGATTTAAGTGGTTTTTAAAATTTATTCTGGATACTAGACCAAATCAAAAATAAGTGTTTTGCAAGTATTTTCTCCTTGTCCATGGTTTGTCTTTTTATTCTCTTAACAGTTTTTTACAGAACAAAAATTTTTAATTTTAATGAAGTCCAACCTGTCCATTTTTTATTTCATGGATCATGGTTTTAATATTATATCTAAAAAGTCATTGTGAAGGCTAGATTATCATGGTGAAGTTACATAGATTTTCTCTTATGTTATCTTTTGGAGTTTTATAACGTTATATTTCACATTTAGATCTGATTCATTTTGAGTGATTTTTTGCAAAAAATGTAAGATCTGTATCTACAATTTTTTTTTGCATGTCAATATCCAGTTGCTCCAACACCCTTTGTTGAAAAGACTGTCCTTTCTCCATCCAGTTGCTTTTGATCCCTTGTCAAAGATCAGTCGACTCTCTTTGTATGGGTATTTCTGGGCTCTCTTATGTTCCGTTGTTCTGTCTGTGTACTTTCACCAATATCACACTGTCTTGATTACTGTATTAAGTTTTGAAGTCATGTAGTGTCGGTCCCCTTGTTCTTCTCCTTTGCCCATTTCTAATTGTTTGTCTTTGTTGTTGAATTGCAAGATTTCTTTATATATTCTGGGTACTAAACCCTTAGCAGATACATATTTTCTTTCATTTTTGTTTTTTTGTTTTTTTGTTTTTTTACTTTCTTGATGGTATCTTTGAAGCACATAAGTTTTTAATTTTGATGAAGTCCGGCATATCTGTTTTTCCTTTGGTTCCTTCTGGTTTTGGTATCATATCTAAGAATCCATTGCCTAAATCAAGATCATAAATATTTACCCCTCTGTAACTTTTAAAAAGTTTATACATTTAAGTCTTCAATCCATTTTGAGTTAATTGTTGTGTATAGTGCAAAGAAGGGGTCCAATTTCACTTTTTTGCATGTGGATATCCATTTGTCCTAGTACCATTTGTTGAAACCTGTTTTCCTCCAAGCCTTCTGTCCATGAAAAGACAGTGACTACTAAATTTCATCAGTCAGGTTCTGTGGACTACTTAGTTATCTGTCATCTTTGGCCTGTACTAAATATGGTCATTTACAGCAGTCTCTAGCCCCATTAGACTTCACTATATTGTTTAGAACAGGAGTCAGCAAGGGCCAGATAATACTTTAGGCTTTGCAGTTCATGATATTACTGTCACAACTACTTAATTCTGATGTTACAACATGAAAGCAGCTATGGATAATTGATAAATAGGTAAGTGTGACTATGTTCCAGTAAAACTACAAAATCAGGCAACAGGCTATTATTTGTTGACCCTTTGTTTAGATGGTTCTAGAGTAGGGAGAAGAGGGTTCCCTATCCATCAACAACCTTCTTCATGAGATCCTCACTGTACCTTACTTTTCTGCAGGACATCTGGGATTTTTCCATAAATGCTTCAAGAGCTGGCGTGCCCAATCCTGGTTGAGATTCTCCCCACTAGCATGATACAGAAGTCTTATGGAGTGTGTTCAGTTTTGACTGCCTTACCTACCACACACTATGGAGGCTGCTTGCATGTGTTCCCTAGTCAGCGAGGAGTCTGCTTCTCCCTCTCCCTCTGTGCTTTCTTGCTCTCTCTCAAATAAGTAAAACCTTTACAAAAATTATACAGTGAGGTTGAGGTAGCTCAGGAAAACAGGCTAAAGTCTACAGTAACCAAGTGAATGTCCAATCAAGTAAAAGCTACATTGAAAATAGTAGGAAAAGTGAAAGTTTGGCTCATCCTTGTCCCTTCACTTATGGGCAGTCTTGATCTGGAGGAAGCAACAGCCCATTTTCCGATACCCTGCCCCACCTCAAATTGAAGGGAGCAGAGCAAACCTTATTTGCAGTGTACTAACTTATCTGGGAGCTGCCTGAAGAACTGGTTTCTTTTTCCCATAATTGGAGTTCTGCAGAGGAAACTCAGCATAAAGTGGAAGGAACTGCTCATAAAATCTCTAGAGAGATTATGGCTCACAGACACCTGGGGCAAGACATTGTGGATGGAGACACATAGTAGAGCATCTGTGGCCCCAAGGAGAAATTGGAGTGAAATTGGAAGACATAAAAGCAAGAAGGTATAAGGGGAAATAGATAAAGGTTTGCAAATCCAGGTGGGATGCACACTGAAATCCTCGAAGACTTAGCTTTCTCGTTTGATCCCAAAGCTCAGAACATATTCTACTAATCAGTAAAAGAATACACTGGCACAGACCCAGTCTTCAAAGACTGGAAAAAGAGGCTATTTTTCACCTGCTCAGTTTTCAACCAAAAAAATCACAAGCAGCAGGATAACCTGGGCCATTCAAAAGAAAAGGAAGTGGCATGGGGGATCCCTGGGTGGCGCAGCGGTTTGGCGCCTGCCTTTGGCCCAGGGCGCGATCCTGGAGTGTCCCACGTCGGGCTCCCGGTGCATGGAGCTTGCTTCTCCCTCTGCCTGTGTCTCTGCGCCTCTCTCTCTCTCTCTCTCTCTCTCTCTCTCTCTCTGTGTGACTATCATAAATAAATAAATTAATTTTAAAAAATTTAAAAAAAAAGAAAAGGAAGTGGCAGGAATCTTCCCTGAGGAAACACAGGCATCAGACTTATTAAATATTTTTTTTTAACTATGAAATGTGCCCCCTGGGCAGAAGGCAGGTGCTAAACCACTGAGCCACCCAGACAACGTCCCAATCCATTTACATTTAAAGTAATGGCTGGTAGGAAAGGACTTACTTGACATAATTCAAGAGGGAAATAGATAGCTCTCCAGTAAGAGTAATTTCAGTACCACTTTCAATAATGATAGAACATGAGATAGAATCAATAGGAAATAAAAGATCTGAACAATATTATAAGCCAGTTGAACTTAGCAGACATACAGACATTCCACCCAGCAATTTTCTCAAGTGCACATGGAACATTTTCCAGTAAAAATCATAGGTTAGGCCACAAGACAAGTAAATCTATTTCAAACCTATTGAAAATATACAAAGTATGTTTTCCCATCACAATGAAATAAAATTAGAAATCAGCAGAAGGAGAACTGAAAAATTCATAATTATGTGGAAATTAAATAACACATTCTTTAAACCAGTGGGTCAGAAATCTCAAAGGAAGTTATGAAATATCTTGAGGCAAATGAAAGAAAAACCACAACATTCCAAAATGTATGTGATTCAGCATAAACAGTGCTAAGGAGGAAATATGTAGCTGTAAATACCTACATAAAAATGATGAAAGATTTTTTTTAAATTTTTATTTATTTATTTATTTACGATAGTCATACACAGAGAGAGAGAGAGGCAGAGACACAGAGGGAGAAGCAGGCTCCATGCACCGGAAGCCCGATGTGGGATTTGATCCCGGGTCTCCAGGATCGCGCCCTGGGCCAAAGGCAGGCGCCAAACTGCTGCGCCACCCAGGGATCCCAAAATGATGAAAGATTTAAGGGGCACCTCAGTGGCTCAGCTGGTTAAGCATCTGACTCTTGATTTTGGTTCAGGCCATGATCTCAGGGTTGTGAGAT